GGTATTATATTCCCTGACAACCATTTTTCCCGTTTCACCTAATCTGTGGGATATTGCAAAACAAAAAGACACAAATGGGCTAGCTAATGCATGAATTTGGGAACAAAACAGGGGCTCCTACCATCCATCCCAAATCCAGGAGGATGGCAAACTCACTCCCAGTTTTCACTTCTTCCAGCCAGGGACCATCAGTGCTTGTCTCGAGGGGTTGTCCTATCAGTCAATGGGACAATACATGGGACATTACATTGCAGCAAGAATGTTACATAGATGATAGGGAAGGGGAAGGAAGAAGATGTTCAGCACACATTATATGTCATGCACTTTGTCTCCAGTATGTTATGGAACTGTCACAAGGACTCTGTGGGTTGGTTCTAGCATTCATTGTTAACTAGATGAGGGAATGAAAAATAAAACAACCTGCACTGAGCCTGCAGTTGACTCCAGTCATGAGGGTGTGAGCAACCTCCAAAGTAGAAAGATGTTCCATGTCTGGAGAAGACAACAGATTCCTTGTTTAAAAAGGAAAAATACAATATTAAAAGGATGGTTTGGTTTCTCAGGCTTGGGTGTGACTTAGTCATCACATTAAATCACCTGTGTCGCCAGAGCTTCAGCCAGTGCCAGGTTGTGGAGAGGTGGGCACCCAGGCCAGGGTTCCCACTGCCTATTCCAGGCACTTCTCCTTGGCCCACATAAGGAAGGGGTATGTGAGGGTATGTGAGTGCTTTCCCATGACACCAAAATGCAACTAAGCAGAAAGGATGCATGGCTTGGGGCTGGAAAAACATTTACAACAACCTGACAATGGAATCCATTTGTCCAGGTCTAGCCAGGTTTGGCAGGTGAGGCAAGAGTCCCACCTAGTGATACAAGAGCTCCTTTTCATCATTTGTGGTTGGGTTTTCCCCCACCGCCAAGGAGGTGCAGGGTGCATGGGCAGGGGGAACTACGTCTGTGGTGCAGGAATGCACTGAGAAGGTGCTGCCCAGATAGTCCTGCCCTGCATGTGTGAATCACCCAGTTAGAAGGCCATTACTGGTGGGTTTGCATCTTGTCAGCATTTTACAAACTGGTAATTCTCTTGCCCAGAAAGTGTCTCCCTGTTGCCAGAGTCTGGAAATGCGGCCAAAGAATTTGGCATTTTCAAAGCCAAGAGCCTTCTTGTTTCCTCTATCATAGGGGCTTTCTGACAGCTGGCGGAGTTGTGGCTTTGAGGGTGAAATTTTTTTTGTCAACTTGGCTAGACTATGGTGACCAGTTGTTTGGTAAAGCATGAGTCTAGATGTTCCTGTGAAGGTACTTTGTAGATGTGATTAATATTTACAATCAATTGATAGTAAGTAAAGTAGATTATCATTCATAATGTAGATGGGCCTTGTCAAATCAGTTGAAGACTTTCAGAGTGAAGACTAAGGTTTCCTAACAAGAAGGGATCTCTGCCTAGAGACTGCAACATAGAAATCCTGCTTATGTTTCCAGTCTTCAATCTGAAGACTGCAATATTTCTTACCTGATCTCCAGCCTGCTTGCTTGCCTGATCGATTTTGAACTTGCCAGCTCCCACAGTGGTGTGAACCAATTTCTTAAAATAATCCTTCTGTCTCTCTCCTCCTTGCCTCTACATAGGTAGAGTCATGTATCACATAATGATGTTTCAATCAACAACTGCATATATGATGATCTTAGAAGATTATAATGGAGCTGCCCTACACAGGTGTACAGTATTTAAATGTTTCATATTGTGTTTATGCTGTTTCTTTCTATGTTTGGATACATAAACACTTAATGTTGTGTTACAATTACTTAAAATATTCAGTATAGTCACATGCTGTACAGTGTGTAGCCTAGGAGGAATAGGCTGTACCATGTAGCCTGTGTATGTAGTAAATTATAGCATCTAGGTTTTTGTAAAGTGTACTTCTAATGGTTTACACAATATGACCAAAATCATTATGATATCTTACATCAGAGCAACATACACTGCGTCATTTAAAGTGACAAAATAACTATAATGTGTAATGTGTGTGGGTATAGATGAGAATCATACAATATACATGCATATGTGGGTATATAATTAACATATTATACCCACATCAACAAATAATTATATGTATTATTGTATAATTATCATATTATAGTTACCAAATATATACATATATTATATATAAAAAATTATATATTATATAATATGCATATATAATACATGCATAATATAATATGATATATACATATATTAATATGTATGTATATATGTATAGTTATATATGACAATATATACATATATTATATAAAATATAGACATATATAATATACACCATATATATTATATATATACATATACATATATTTTATTATACACACACACGCACACACACACACACCGTTTTCCCTTGGCATCTGTGGGAGTTTGTTTCAGGGACCCCCTGCAAATATCAAGAATCTATGACTTCTCATGTCTCTGATGTAAGATTGGCATAGGATTTGTATATAACCTACAAAACATCCTGTGGTATACTTCAAATGATCTCTGAATTACTTATAATATCTAGTACAATGTAATACTATGTAAATAGTTGTATTGTTTTTTTAAGGTTTTATTTTTATTGTTGTATTGTTATTTTTATTGCTTTTATTCTCTGATATTTTCCATCTGCAGCTGGTTGAATCTGCAGTTTATAATATAATAATTATAGAATCTATAATATATTAATATAATAATAATATGTGACATTTGCTATATACAATTATAATAATATGAAATATCTATATGGATATCTGAACTACTGAAGTATTGTAGTTTGGGAACTGTGAAAACTTCTTCAGGACTCCTGAAGTCCTTCAGAATTCTAAAATTTCAAGCATTCCTCATTTGCACATACGGATGCTGGAACCCTGCCTTGAGTCAGGCTTACAGTCTGGTACCTGGTTCAGGCAGGATGTGACCAAAGAGTAGAACGTAGCCAGTGGAGGCTTCCCTCTGTAACTTGCTCAGCTGCCTCCTGTGGGGCCATGGCTCCAGGGAGCTGCACAACTTGCTTCTCTGCTTGTCTTCTGAATCTGTCCTTCCAAACTCCTGGCAGAGGTGATGGACTGCCCAAGTGATACTGTTTCTGTGATTACTGCTTATTGTTTTTGTTTTTGAGATGGAGTCTCACACACTGTCACCCAGGGTGGAGTGCTCTGGCGCAATCTCAACTATTTGCAACCTCCACTTCCTGGGTTCCTGCCTCAGCCTCCCTAGTAGATGGGATTACAGGTGACTGCCACCGTGCCTGGTTAATTTTTTTTGTATTTTTAGTAGAGACAGGGTTTCGCCATTTTAGCCAGGTGGTCTCAAACTCCTGACCTCAGGTTATCACCCACCTTAGCCTCCCAAAGGGCTAGGATTACAGGTGTGAGCCACCGCACCTCCCTTGTTTCTCTATTATTTCTTGAGACACATTTATATCCAGGTTATCCTATAGTGGCCGTTATCCATCCATCCATCCATCCATCCATCCTCTCCATCCTCTCCATCCAGCATAGATTTATCCCAGCACCTTTCCTTCTACCAGCTTTTGTTCTGGTTGCTTCTGGGGGAGGCACATGAATGCACAGATAAGCTATTTTGGAGCTCTGTGGTATAAGGAGGTCCTACCCTTGCCGACCCACAGAGGGAAATTCTAATCTCCTTTTCCCCAGACAGCCTCGGCACTGCAGACCATCTCTTTGTGTTCCTTCTTGCATCTCTTTGGAGCAGGAAGCATGCTTAACAGCACTGTGGCTGACACCTGTTGCCATCCTTGGCTACACGTCTTCTGTTCCATCTTCACGTTGAGGCCTAGGAGTTTTTCAGGGAACCCCCGCTGGGGTTTGCAGTCATCTATCTCCCTTTCCCACTCCTCTCTGGAATTGCGCTTGCTAGTAGGAACTGATGCTGACCCATCCCTTTCCCTGATCCTCAGGCTGTTGATCATGACTATATTTCTTGAAGATTCCTTTCTTCCAGTGTGACTTTTTGAGGACCAGCCCAGCCTGGAGGCCAGACAGAGCTCTAGAGAAGGAGCATCTGGATAGACACATCTGCTATCCCATTAGTCTTACTGCTCCCACTTCGCTCTCAGGCTCAGGCTCTTGCCTGCTCAAATACACCATTGGCACACCTGAATCCATGGGTGATGGCCATGAGCCACACTTCCTGGTCTTGTCCTTCCCTTCTGGATGTAACTTCATGTCTCCCCGTTGGAAAAGAGATTGACATGAAAACCAAAATTAAAATACTGTAATAAGGTGCCAGGAAGTGGTAGCTGTAGTGTTCTGTATGGCCTTCTGAGCCTGAGCCGGCAGGTCAGGTCAGGTTCAACAAAGGTTTGCTAGCGAAGGGGTGGGTAATATGAAATCTGAGTGGTCAAAAGGAGTCAGAGTGATTAAATGGATGGTGGGAAAAAGAGTTTTAGACAGAGTGAACACCAGCTGTGGCAGCACAGTGAGAAGACATTGAGATGTGGTCAAAAACCTGGAATCAGTTTGTGTAGCAGGAACACTGGGCAGGAGAGAGAAAACACTATGGGGACCTGCGCTTTGGGAGGCCGAGGTGGGCGGATCACTTGAGGTCAGGAATTCGAGACTAGCCTGGCCAACATGGTGAAACTCCATGTCTACTAAAAATACAAAAATTATCCAAGCCTGATGGCACACACCTATAATCCCAGCTACTTGGAAGGCTGAGGCAGGAGAATTGCTTGAACCAGGAGGCAGAGGTTGCAGTGAGCCAAGATCATGCCACTGCACTCCAGCCTGGGCCACAGAGTGAGACTCTTGTCTCAAAAATAATAAATAAATAAATAAATAACACTATGAGGCTGTTTCTCATCCTGGAGTACAAAGAGAAGCACCTTAACTTGACTTTGTTTTCTCTAAGAAGTGAGACTTCTTTAGTGATGACGCTTTCTGGCACCCTGGCATCCTACCTGCGTAGGGTAAGATAGATACCTTCAAATTACCATTTCTTGTTCCAGTCCCTTCATACAATGAACCAGTTCCTGAAAATTTGCATTGCAAAATCATGAAGATACTGTAACTTCAATTCTGCTAACACTTACATGAGAAGGAAAAGAGGCTGGGAAGCACATATGCAAAAGGTGGTCATTGGTTAAGGTGAGTGCTGTTTGGTTGATTTAATTCTTGGCTTTATTTTTTGTGTTTACTTTTGTTTTGTTTACTTACCTTTAGAATTATATTAAAAAATTACATTTGAGTTATATTCAAACAGCTCTCCCAACAGATATTCTGGGTCTAATTTCTAGGCTGCAGCATAAGATACTCATCCTCCAGGTGGAATTAGTCTTGTTCTGTAATATATTAGCAGAGGCTCTATTAGGAAGTGATAAGACCACATACTAAGGTCTCCAGGAATATAGGGGATTTTTCTACCAGTGGCAAGGAGTGTTATTCCAGATCAAGCTAATAACTTTGCATTCATGGCACCCGTTAGGGTGTCTTCTTTGTGGTGATTGCTAGTTTAGAAAATGGAAGGAAAATTCAGCAAGGCTGTTTGTGATGTGGCTGCAGAATTCCCTGATGGCTGAGGGTCCCAGAAAGCTGTGTGTCCAGCATACAATATCCTTTGTTTAAGCATCTGCATCTTTCCCCCAAGCAGGCTGTCAGCAAGGCAGTCATGCCCCCTCTCTCACTCAGTTCAGGCAGGAATCGAAGCACAATTTGGTCTCTTTGTCATTTCAAAAATCAAACCTGCCTAGGGACTGAGTTCCAGCAGCAGCTGTTTTTGCTTTATGTTTTATTTAAAGACATTTAATTTTGAGTCCTGTATGTTTTCAATGATATTTTTAATTTTTGGTAGAGCAGACTGTATACATGTATAAAATACCCTTGATTTATATACAGCAACTCTTTCATTAGCTGACTTTTTTTAAGGATAAATGCAGATTAATGATCCTAATTAATAACTAAGTGATTATAGCTATTTATTGTTTTAATTATTTCTTAAAAATAGTAGTAACTAAATATCAAATATATTAAATTATAGTTTATGGCCAGCTTTGTGTCAAGTAGTTTACATACATTTTCTCATCAGGCTTTATAAGAATCTTATAAAGTAGTTGGAGAAACTGGTATTCATTTTATGAATAGAGTCTCAGAAAGGGTAAGTGGCTTGTTCAAGTTCTCATGGCCAATGAGTAGGGAAGCTGAGATTTTTAACCCAGGTATGTTTGATGCCACATAACATACATAATGTGATATTACATGTATACTGTATATGTATATTTATGTATGTGCATACCTATATATTATATTATTTGTATGTGATACCCAAACTTCCAAATCACATTTTCTCCTCGTCTCTTTCATTTTCTTTTTTCTCTGACTTTTTCTATCTCTTGGCCTCTTGGCTCCTTCCGATGGTTGACTAACCCTGCTGTCCTTCATGGGCTGTGATCTGAGAGGGCAAAGTGTTAAAGCATTTCCCATCTTATGTGGATTTCCCAGCTCACCCATGCCAAAAGTGGACTGAGCTCCTGATCCTAATGCCAGAGGACCTGGGATCATATCTCATTTCTTTTCTGTTCTAGCCTCATATATTTGGGCAAGTCTTGCAGCTTCTCTGAGCCTCAGCTTCCTCATCTCATATGTTGGCTGAGGCTCAGAAGAGCTGGTGTCCCGTGTGCCTGCCAAAGTTATCATGAGGATTAAATGTGAGGATAGATGTGAAAGCAGTTTATGAGCTGTAAAGTGCAATGGTCACTCTGTCATGTTCTCTGGGCTGCATGTCCTCTGTCATGAGACTTTATCTGGGAGGCAGGAAAGTAAGGAAAAAAGGAATTCCTGCAGAGCCAGCCCCACACATGAGAAGGAATTAGAAAGGTCATGTGGGATCCAGCAAAGCATCCAGGAGGCAGGATTAGTCATCATCCTAAGGCAGAGGCACTTGTTTGTTTCTACTCCAGGAATTTGTCATCATCGCAATTCTGCCACTCCCTGACTCTGCTTATTCTGAACCTGCCATTACTATTCAGTTTATTTCTATTCCTATCTCTCAGCCTTGTGGCTTTTGCTGCCTCATACCATTATCTGTCTCCATCTTTCGTGCTCAGCCTCCTCTCTGAGTTAGTTCTGCCTTTGTTTCTGTTAAGGACTGCTGACTCATTCTGTAGGTCTCACACTTCTACTGCCCAGGGAGAAGGTTCAGTTTGCTATCATCAGTGTTGTGCTGGTAAATGTTTAATAACTGGTTCTCTGTGGGAGGCTGGGTGGGGGTACGGGAAACTCTGACACCTGTGTGTTGCCAATTTTCTTGGTACAAATACTCGCACAAGAGATGGTTTCAAGATGCCGACATAATGTCACCTGGCTCCTCAAATCCTGAAAATGGAACAGTTGGAGCCCATAAGCTAGCATAAGCCAGCTCCAGCATATCACTATGAGCCCTGTCTGCTGCCTCATAGCTGCTGGTCAGTCCAGCGATTGGCTGGTCTTGAACTGGGGTCCCATCCTGGTCCATTTAGCTGTGGTCAAGGTATCAGGATTATACATTTAACCTCTCTCTGAAAGTCCTGTGGACATAGGAACTTTCCAGTTTATTTGTTTGACTCTCATTTTACAGATGTCTCTGTGACTTCAATAAAATAAGGGGAGAGATAGAAAAGGAGGGTAAGTAAATATAAATTAGAAAATGATTAATGCCACAATAAAGGTGTAAAAGATGTAAAATGAGGGTTCAGAGCCAAGAAGTGTCACTTTCCAGTCAGTGGCAAACAAGGAAGACTTTATGCAGCAGATAACATTTTAACAGAGACTTTAAGAATGATAGGGTTTGGAGAGGTAGAAATAGAGGAGAAGGTGTTCAAGACACAAAGAAAAAAGTTTGAACAGAAGTGTGCAGTGAGGAGGCATGGAATAGGTATGGAGTTAGTAAGCATTTCACTTTATTGGAGCAGAAAGTTTGTGAAGAGGAAAAAGTGATCCTATTATGAAGAAAAGTTGGACCGGGCATGGTGGCCCATGCCTGTAATCCTAGCATTTTGGGAGGTCACGGTGGGCAGATAGCTTGAGTTCAGGAGTTCCATACCACCTTGGGCAACATGGTGAAACACTGTCTCTACAAAAAATATTATTTAAAATATTTATATTATAAATTATATTGTATTAGGTTGGTACAAAAGTAAGTGTGGTTTTTGCAATTATTAATACTTTTCATGGCAAAAACTCACTTACTTTTGCACCAAACTAATACAAAAATTAGCCAGGAATAGTGGTGCACACTTGTGTCTACTTGGGAGGCTTCCTGAACCCAGGAAGTCGAGGTTGCGGTGAACCATGATCATGCCACTGCACTCCAGCCCAGGCAGTAGAGTGAGACCCTGTCTCCAAAAACAAAAGCAAAAACAAACAAACAAACAAAAAAAAAAAAAAAAAAGAAAAGAAGAGAAAAGTAGAGGACTTTTGGGTGTGTCAAATAAGCCTGAAATATCTTATACTGCTTTTCTGAGGTACTGTTTGCAAATAAAAGTGAAATACAAAATACACATTATAATGCTATTATCTATTATTTTTACATGAATCTATTGAAATAGAGTCTTGAGAGCTTATGAGAGTAAGGTTTTGTTGAGTCACATAAATTGGTTCTGATCTTCTATTTTTTCAAATAGATGATATTATCATGGGTATTAGTTCTTGCACTGAATGGTGTCAGCAAGTTGAGGCAGAGCATTGGTGAGAATAAGACTGGGCTGAATCTGGAAGAAGAGAGATCCTACCTTGTTGCCAACTCAAGACATGGGCAAGTCATTTCTTTGCCAGCCTTAGTCCATCCTCATGCCTGTAATCTCGCAGGGTGGTTATTTGATGGTTGCTTTCTTAGCCTTCCCACGTCTATAATCACATACACTTGACCTCTTCAACTTTATTTTAAATGAAGTCATTCATTATTTGAGGACTGGCAAAGAGTAAAATTCTCCATGCCCTCAACTTGGAGACTCTTCCCTTGAGAATGAGCTACAACTGGAATCACTGCCAAGGTTCATATGTCATGGGGGAGGAGAATTCTGGTTAACTGAATATCTTTGTTAAAGTGAAGATTAGCTAGCATGAACTGTTTAAACCCTTGCTGTTAGCAATATATCTAGAGTGTGCTAATTAACATCTCTAACTTAGGAAAACAGGAAAATAAGAATTAAGAAATATATATATATATATATATATACCAGCCTCTGTGATAGTTACTAGGAAACAGAATGATAATAATGGCTATCATTTATTGAACATTTTATTCTTCGCCAGATACTGTTCTGAGAGCTTTATGCACATCATCTCCTTCAACATTCCCAACAAATATAAAAACTAAGCAAACGGTTATAATACTTTGTAGTGGGTTGAATAGGGATCATCCAAAAATGATATGTCCGTATGCACATCCCTGGACCTGTGGCCTTATTTGGGAAGGGGGTGTTTGCGGATGTAATTAAGCATCTTGAGATGATGAGGTCATCCTGGATTTTCCAAGATGGCCCTAAATACAGTGGCAAGTGCTGTTACAGGAGACACACAGGGAAGAAGCACACAGAGGAGGAGGCAATGGGACCATGGAGGCAGATATTGGGGTGATATAGCCACAAGCCATGGAACACCCAGAGCCCCCAGATGCTGGAAGAGACAAGACACAGATCATCTTCTACAGCCTTGGTAGGCATGGCCCTACCAACACCTTGATATCAGACTGTGGGCCTCCAGAATTGTGCAAGCATGAATTTCTGATGTTTCCGGCCACCAAGTTTATGGTAATTTGCTACAGGAGCCATAAGAAACTAATAAATACCCATTTTACAAATATGAGAATGAAGCATAGAAGGGCCAATCAACTTACCTGAGATCTCACAGTTAGTAAGAAATGGCTGCAGGAGACTTACCTAGGCATCCTTAGAGTTTGCTTTCAACCTTAATAGACAACTGCACCTCATAATGTCTCTACCCCTAATGAGATATATAAGTGACCCAGTTACTCTGAAAAGTGCAATGGAAACTTGGGAAAGACATAGGGTGCAGCTATAGGAGCACAAGAGGGGCATATAACTGTGCTTTTGAGGGGAAGCATGAGTATCAGGGAAAATATCCAGAGGGAGGTGATGATATTGAGCTGATAAAGATTTTTTTTTTTTTAATTTTAAAAAATTTTAAGTTCAGGGGTATGTGTGCAGAACGTGCAGGTTTGTTACATAGGTAAATGTATATCATGGTAATTTTGTGCATAGACCATCCCATCATCCAGGTATTAAGACCAGCATCTATTAGCTATCCTTCCTGATGCTCCCCCTCCTCCCCACTACTCTCTGACAGGCCCCATTATGTGTTGTTCCCCACTTTGTGTCCATGTGTTTTCATCATTCAGCTCCCACTTATAAGTGAGAACATGAGGTATTTGGTTTTCTATTCCTGTATTAGTTTGCTGAGGACAATGACCTCCCGCTCTATCCATTTCCCTGCAAAGGACATGATCTCATTCCTTTTTATGGCTGCATAGTATTCCGTGGTGTATATGTGCCACAGTTTCTTTATCCAGTCTATCATTGATGGGACATACCATGTCTTTGCTATTGTGAATAGTGCTGCAATGGACTTACACATGCATGTATCTTTATAATAGAATGATTTATATTCCTTTGGGCATGTACAAGGAACTTAAACAAATTTACAAGAAGATTTTTTATGTTTTTTTTTTAAGACAGTAAAGTGGGGATATTTTTCCAAGCAGAAGGAGCAACCATGGCAGGTGAGAAAGAGCAGAGATGTTAAAAAGACTAAGTAGCTGGTCCTACATAGCAGGAAATTGTGGCCAATGTCTGGGAAGCCCTGACTTCAGATCCCATCTTCTTTCATGCTGCCTTCTGGACTGAGAGGCAGGAGTGTTCTTTGTGTCACGTCTTCTTCATTTCTTAGCTGTCTGACCTCTGCAAATTTGCTTAACCACCCTACACCTCAATTCCATCTGCTGTCAAAAGAGGGTAAAAATAATAGTGCCAGCTCTCTCTAACTCACATAAGACTCTGTGAGTAAAATCTTTGTAAATGGAAAGGCTTAGAAAAATATGAGTAATTGTTTATGTGATGAGCCTAAGTTTTTCTTTGGAATTTTATTTTTTGAGATACCCTTCCAGTTCAGCACAGTTTCTTGTGGTTTGCTGATTTCCCCTAAAAGTCTAGTAACATAAGTTTTCTCATTAACAGTTTTTAAGATATGGGCTTATTTTAATATTCCTCTCCAAATCATTCCAAGCAGTTTTCAAATGTTTTTCTCAAAAGTCCCGTAAAAACTCAATCCATTGATCATGGATTTTCATTGGATATATGAACACCAGACCTATATTACATTTGCCTCATGAAAGGTGTTCAGAAACACTTTACATTAAATTTGGAGATCATAATAGAAGAGACTCCCAGCACCTCAACTGAACAACACAGGTTTGCTTTATTTTAGAATGTCAGCACCTAGGTGTGGACTATGTCTTCTCATTCTGCAAACTGCAATCCAGCACAGCCATGCGTCTTCAATGCAGAAAATGTGGGTGTTTACAATAGGGTGGTATTTGTTCCTCCCTAATCTCTATCCAATTTTACAATTAAACTTTTACCTTGAAAAACCTAGCATGGCAAAATGAAGAGAACTATAAAGTCAGTCATAAATAAAAACCAGTCGCATATTTCAAAGACATGGGTGCCTGCATGTGCAATGTAAAGTCACATCATCTTGTATCCTGTCTTTAAAAAATTGTGTAAGAAGTAACAAGGGGTAACAGAGCAGAAATAGTGAGAGGACAGTTGTGTAATTAGCAAACAAATCTCTTTTCTTGGAGGGGATATACTGTCTCTATTACATAACTCTGCCAAAGTCTCTACAAGGGTGATGAAGACAGTAGGGTACAGTGGAAGGAAAAGTAACCTGGGAACCAGGCTATTTTGTTTTTTAATGTTCTTAAGCTCTTACGCTATTTGGCATTAGGTTTTTATTACATACAACTGTCCCTGTGGCTACAATAGTGGGTGTGTAGGGTAGAGGAGGGGGAAAATAAATTGAGTACATTCATTTGAGCTTGAAAAAGAATCCAAATCCTAATGCCTTGGAATAGATCATCTCAATCTTTTAAATCATTCTAATTGGATATTTTTAGGCTGATTGTCCGTACTTGAACAAATCCCTGAGGTCAGGGTAATAGAGTCCTCACATGTGTTGCATTATTTGTTCACTCTGGTAGCTGGGATAAGGGAGTGGTCAGTATTGGTGAATCACAATGATTTGCTTCCCCATTGGAAAAATGGGCTTTGTTTTCGGAAGAAGAAATGAGTGCTGGGCAGAGAAGGACATTAAATGTCCAGCAAATCTTTGAAACCCTATCAAGCCTTGATGGTAAGGATCCTACAGGATCCATGGTTGTTTCTGCGGTTCCCACTACATGCTCCCCATTCATTATCTCCCACCTGGAGTCACATCCTATTTTTTTGAGTGTTCAGCTCCCATTTCATCACCTCTGTGGCACCTTCTCTGGCAGCTCTGATCCATAAAGGCTATTTTCTGTGATACAGCACTGTGCTTCACAGATCACCAGTCCACCATAGCTTGCTGAATCTGAATCTCATCCAATCACTTTTCCAGGTCATTTGCTTCCCTTAATGTGTCTCTCATTTCTTTCTGATTCTCCCTCTTCATTACCACCTTAGTTCATTCATTTCTTCTCACTTGGATAATTGTATGTTTTCTTCTTTGTGCCTCCAGCTAATTTCTCTTTATCTGCCATTTCTTTCAGGGCAATCTTCCCAAAAGGTACACAGCTCTGAACGTACCAACACTCTATTTAAAAATCGGTAAGGTAGAGAGGAAGGTAGTGCTGAGTGAAACTGAAATCTGCTATGTGCTGGAGTTTTCCTTCTGGAAAGCTGACAGCACACCTCTGACCCTTTCCAAAGGGTCTGATGTGAAATATTGTGACAAAGTTGGAATCAACTGGCAAGTATTTCAATAGATGTGCTAATAGCATGCAACAATGGGAAGGTGCCAGAACTGAACTGAGGTGGTGAATTGAGGTACAGATAAGCAAGTACCGAGAAAAAGGAGGCAAGAGAAATGCCAAAACTGGGGTGATTCAAAGGAAGGAAACAGGGTTTGATGCTAATAGTTATTGTCTGGCTTATTTGAGTAGTTTTTAAAGGGAGAGGAAGGGAGAGGTGTGTACCTACCTGTTGGTACTGTGGTGTGCCTTTATTATGTTTGGACATCTAAGCAGACCGATTTATTTGTTCCCTAAGCAAATATTTATGGAGTACGTACTCTATGCTAAGCACTGTGTATCAGAAGTAACTGCATACATGAGCCTTGGAGGGTGATTGTGGTTGATATGCACGGACATGGGTGAAAGGTAAAAGACATATTTTTAACTTTGTATTTTCCGATACATCCAGCTGTGTGCTTTCTGCCAAGCAGGTGCTCAAAATAGGTTTACTGAGTTGAAAACCAATTCATGCCACTAAAGGGTGTCTCATAGTCTCACAGGAATTAGGAAGGAGTGAGGAGCATCTTTAGTAAATAAACAATATGCTCATAGCACAAAAAAATACAACTTTGGGTTTGTTAGACTTTGCTCTGTCTTACTTATTAACTAGAACTCAAATTTCCTTCATGTGATTGTTTTTCTTCTCTTTCTTCTTCTTACTTTCCTAGTTTTCTTTCTGCAAAGTTCTCATCAACACGTTTCAATGAGTATAAATGAGGACTCCATGTCCCAAGAAACAGAGTAGCCAAGCAGTGAGGTGGCAGCGGGGAAGGAGTGGGGGAAAGAATGAGAGAGAGAGAGAGGGAGCGAGAGAGTTATGAAGTCTGAATCTCCTGGTGCTTGCCAAGTCTGCAGGAAATGACCTGATTGCATAAGAAAGATAGGATTGGTGATAAAAGTGCGGATAAATAGATGTGTGTGTGTGTGTGTGTATAAATATATGTATGTATGTATGTGTGTGTATATAGTCAGAGTATGTTGCTTATAGGGATAATGAATGTCTTTGACCCTGACACTCCCTCACTGACAAAAAATAAAAAGGTGTTTTTGTCTATGACTGGTGTGGAAGTGAAGAACAAACATGCCAATAGCCATAGGATGGTGGTCTTGATCACAAGGGTGAACCAGCCTGGAGTGAATGGGATGGTACTGTGACTCTTGGTATTGGTATTCTTCATCCAAAAGTTGGTGTCCTGGGTCCTGGGCAGAAGCAGCAGCAGCAACAGGAGCAAAGAGAGGGTGATTCAGTGGACAAGGGAGACAGAATGAACATTTTGATGTCTCTGTTGACCAGAAGTAGCAGCACTGCAATCTAGAGAGCAAAAGAGAAAAGGTGGAAATGTAAACTTCACAGCACCTATAAGACATTCTCCTAAGGCCCAGCAGCATTCTGGGAGCATGTGGAAATGCTGGGAGCAAGAGGGATCAAAGTTGTGTCTGGTCCTCTTTCTCCCTGGCTGGTGGGGCCTGGAGAGCAGCTGTTTTAATTAGAGTCATCCCCGAGGTCTGTATGAACTTCCTCTTCCAGGTATATGGTGGACAAGATGAGCTAGAAGCATTTATACTGTGGAATATCTATATGCTGAATAAATCACAAAGAAACCATACTTGCCTGTGCATTGTTGAGCCCACAAGAAAGTAACGAATGTCCTAAAAACCACAACTCAAACAAATCTTGAGCTGACACAAGAGAGGTGAGTGATTGTGAAGGCAGAGTCATCCTGGGTAAAATGATGCAACAAGGTGCCTGAAGCTTTGAGGATTATTGATCGCACTAGGTATGAGAAAATAGATCCGGAGGTCATGCAAGAGGGAGGATGCTGGGCTTGAGATGCCCTCCTAAAGGTTCACTCTCACAAAGTCTAAATAATCAGTGAAAAGCTAGACTAAAGAAACAAACAAACAAAAAAAAAGCGTGTGTGTCACTGCTGTGACTCTGGGTAGAATTAATTAGTGACAGTACTAGTCGCCAGTGGAATTTGTTAGCTGTGGTACAGGTCTGTTCTCATATGGATCCAGGGTTACTTTAGTACCATCCATGAAGTCAGAGAAAATAAAGCCAATAACTTAAAGCATCGCTAGTTTGAGAGCCATTCCTATTGTCCAAAAATAGCAGATGCAGAGTACCTTGGGGAGTCAGCATCTTCAGCTTAGAGCCTCCAGGGTGCTCCCAGGTTAACTTCAGGCAAGTAAGAACTCTTAGGGAAAAATGACAAAACACACATGGAAGCAGGCCATCATGGATGAGAGTCAGTCTAAACAACTATGAACAGATTTTGACCCCTGAAGTCTTCAAATTTTATTCTGGTATTATCAGGTACAGAAGACATTCTACCTAAGAATACCATGTTTAAAGAAATAAAGAGAATAAAGATAGCAAGGAAAAATGGATTATCAAAGAATGAAAGGGAACTCTGGAGATAAAAATGTAATTATTAAAATTAAAATCTGATGAATAAAGAAGGGATTTATCATAAGGATGATATGACAGCTAACAGGTACATATCATTTATTATATACTAGACCTTGCTTTGCAGACACACTTGAAGAAAGGAGTGAACTGCAAGTTAGATCTGGAAAAATTACCTTTAGAGAGACCAAGAGAGAAAAAATATAAATGTGAGTACTGTGGCTCAAATTTACTAGTGTGGTATCTTAGACCTAAATTTTATAACCCATCTGAGTATTACTTTCCTCAGCTATAAAATGAAAACACAGAAGAGGTGATTTGGTGGATTTCATTGTAGGACTATTTTTGGAGTTTAGGTTTGTCAACCCTGAAAAAGTAAAGTACTAAGTAAGAGAGGGTGAGACTGACTTGAACTAGCCTCAATATTTTCTGTTTACATTTTTGGGGAATATTTTCTTGGCTTTTTAAAATTTCCACTGTTATGTAGATTTAGAAATTGCATGTATATTTGCCCAATTAAAATTTAATGCTTCAAAATAGCATTTTATCTTTTCCAAATCTATAAATGACTTAGAACCATCATGACTTGGGAAAAGAATGTCACAGACATCCCACAGCAGGTATTTTCTGTCCATCAGATCATATCATTTTCATGTACCATGAGTCACAGCAAATTCATACATTATTAGAAGCTGATTTAGTAAATGAATTATCATTTAAAAGCCCTCTTAGTTAGAACAACTTTAATGTTTATATCCTTCCAGGATTTAGAATCTTGAAAAACAAAATTCTGTTTTGGAATGCTGCCCATTTAATGGGATTGTTTGGACAACTGAAGAGATAATGGAATTATAGTTAGTTGCTCATAGTAGATACTTATCCCTTTCATTGTGGTTTGCAAATGACAAAAACAAACTCTTGCTTATTTAAGCAGGAAAGGAATTAAATGGAAGGAAGGCAAGGTGGAAATGCTCATAGAATTGGTAAGAAGACTGGAGAAACAGCCTTAGAAGGTGGGCAGAAACCACAAGAGGCAAGGCCCAGCCACCATCAACCAAGCCCCAGTCGATGAAGAAGCTGATTGGCATCTCTGAACTGGAAACTTATCACACACCAGTGGGTCCTTGAATCAACTTCTTTGACAAGTGATCTCCATCACTATTGTGACTCTGAAGTCATCCACATAGTCTAGTGTAGGTCATATGCTGGAAACCTTGTGACTACAGGGCGGAGAGGGTATCTGGCCTCCTTTGGCTTCTGTCCTAACAGAATATTGATATTAATGCAGTCAAGATGCAGAACAATTTCTTCACAGTATTAGTCCATTCTCATGCTGCTATGAAGAAATACTTGATACTGGGTAATTTGTAAAGAAAAGAGGTTTAATTGACTCACAGTTCCACAGGGCTAGGGAGGCCTCAGGAAACTTACAACTGAGGCAGAAGGGGGAGCAAACATGTCCTTCTTCACATGGCAGCAGAAAGGAGAAGTGCCAGCAGGGGAAATGCCAGACACTTGTAAAACCATCAGATCTCACTCACTATCATGAGAACAGCATGGAGGAAACCACCTCCATGATTCAATTACCTCCCATGATTCATATGCCTCCCATAACATGGTGGCATTATGGAGATTACAAATCAAGATGAGATTTGGGTGGGAACACAACCAAACCATATTAATCAACACGGTGACTGTAGTAAATAACAATATGTTATATTCTTGAAAAATGCTGAGTATATTTTAAGTGTTATTGCCACAAAGGACAACTGTGTGAGGTAATGCATAAGTTAATTAGCTAGATTTAGCCATTCTACAGTGTATATATATTTCAAAACATCATGTTGTACATAATAAATAAATATGATTTTACCTGTCTACTAAAAAATTTTTAAAAGGGCAGGATTGCTATTTTAAAAAATCAAAACAATACAGAATGTTCTCCTTTTCATGAGAGATCCCCAAATCCAACTCACTTGAGTTACTTCTTTCAAACTTGTGATACATACACACATATACATATAATGTGATTTCCTATAAAAATTAAAGAATATCTATTTCAACAAACATTTTTGAAACTTTTCATGCAACAATCTGAGCAAATCACTTTCCATGCACAATAACTTCTATTCTTTTTTGTGAGTCTGTGGCTTCCATGCTTTTCCAGCTCTCTCTTCTTCCCCTCCTCTAGGCTGCGAACTCCTTGGCAGATGGGACTATCCATCATTGCTGCATCTTCGGCACTTAGCTGCATTCCCTATACATGGTGCCTCCCAACATATGTGTGTAGGATGTCAGGAGGACCATATTGTCTAGAAAGAAAAAAAAAAGTACAATGGAGAGCCTTGCAATATATAGCAATCTCTCACTGAAGGCAAGTCCTAAGATGCCTAGAAACCAGAGTTTCCATTTGACCTTGGGCAGGGAAGTGGGAGCAGGAAAATCTCACTGCCCTCTCCAGCTGGCACGGTCTGCACATTTTCACAGCAGGTCTCCCTGACTCATTCAGAAACAGTCTCCTTGCCTTTCCCTCTGGGTGAAAAAATGGCAAATCCCCATCTCTCTCAAAGTGCATTGCATTGCTGCTTGTTCTAGAAGCTTATTTTCAGAAAGCAAGAAGTCACTTCTTGTGACATCCCACAGCAGGGGATGCATTTTCGGCACAATTCCACAAACATTTCCTCAAAACCCTACTGAGTTGCAGTAGGTGCTGATAACCCAAAAACTAATTCAACCACCAGTCATAAATTAATAAGCATTTTCTGAGCACCTACTACATGCCAAGAAGAGGACAAAACACTCAGGCCAGTCCAAGGAGAGTAAGATGTGGTCCCTGGCCTCTCATAGATAAAAATTTTCTGGAGAAGATATGAGTAGATTACTAACAACATTGAAGTAAAATAGCATGAGTGTTATACCAGCAGTGCAAACACCATGTTTGGGGAATGTTGAGGTGGTATCTATTTTGATCACCTTGTGTAAACGCAACTGACCTAAAACTTTTTGGAATAATGATACACATCAGCTACAAAATAGAGCAGTTTCTCTCTTGTCTCTCTCTCTCTCTCTCTCTCTCTGTATTAATTATAATCAGTAGATGGGGAGGTTAACTTCTCTTGGCTGTCCTTGGGAGGAAGCAGGAGGAAGTAGAAGGAAGCAGGAGGAACTGTTGGCTTGAGGGTGAAGGTGGCATTTGCAGAGTCATAATAGATTACTAGAATTCACTGGAGAAATGGGGATGAGGAGAGAACAACTTGTGCAAAGGCAAAGAGGGCATGCAATGCAGGTGGTTTGGGAAAAAAGTTAAATCTAGTGTTATTGGAGCACAAACATGAACTTCAGATTAAATAGCACACTCCAAAAACATACTTCCTTGGAGAAGAAAGGGGAAAAGTGAATCATTCCTCCATACCATTTTCACTGGCAACCTGCCCTAATCAGAATAGCAAACACTCTTAGCATTTAACATATGCTTGTACTGTTCTGTTTTTCATATAATCTCCTCACAACACCCTACCATATACTATTATACCATACATATTTATTATCTTTTTACATACGTGTAGGCTGAAATGCAAAGAGGTTAAATGGTTTTGTCACACAGCCGTTAACTAGTAGAGGGATTTTAATTCAGGCAGCCTAGTGGTATTTCAACCCTTAACTGCTGCATTTTACTGCTGTATGCAAAGGGGTGTGCCATGCTCTGGAGATACAGAGGTGGCCATGGGTGTGATTTTACCCTGCTCTCTAGAGCTTACATTCAGGGAGGAGGATTCAAATAAGCAAAATTAAGCATGAAATTAAGCACCTATTTCCAATTAGGAGTGCACCTGAAGTGTAAACCAGGGGGTTCTGGCCTGGAGCGGGGTCACAGGTACTGAAGAGTCAGGACAGACAGTTGTACCTGAGTAGGTGACAGTCATTCTGTGGCCTGCAGGATGAACGGGAGTGACACAGGAAGAAAGGATGGAGACTGTGGGGACAAGCCTGTTCTTGGAGCAGGAATCATGCTATGTGAAGGTCTTGGGCAAGAAGAGCAGGCCTCCTTCAATATACCAGCAGAAAGAAGGCTGGTGAAGTCCAAAGCCAATTTTGTGGGGTTTTTCTTAAGTCAAAGGTGGTCAGGAGGTGGAAATCTCATTCTGCAGGATCTGCTATAATTTTGCTTCTTATCCTAAGAGCAATGGGAATTCTCTGAGTGATTCTAAGGAGGGGATTTGCATGATTTGCATTTTTTAAAAAACACACTCAGGCTGTTGTTTGAGGAACAAATTGTGAGTGTGTTTGTGTGTGTGTGTATGTGTGTGAGAGAGACAGAGAGAGAAAGAGAGAGAGAGAGAGAGAGAGATGGGCAGGAAAGGAGAGCCAGAGTGGCTGCTAGGAGCCCTTGTAGGAGGCCAGTGTAGTAATGACTGTGGCTTAGACCTGGGGGTGGCTGTGGGGGTGAAGAGAATCACAACGATTCATGAGATATTTTGGAGTTAGGATTCACAGGACACAGAAACTGAGGAGTGATTGCACTGAAGAGTGACTAGGGAGCAACGAAGCCAGTTTGCTTGAGCTGACTCCCAAATTTCACAACTCTCTGGAGTGACTGTTGCTAAAATTTCCAGCAAAAGGCAAGGAATAAATATTCTAGGCTTTGTAGACCATATGGTCTCTTGTAACTACTCAACACTGCCGTGTAGCGCAAAAGCAGCCATGGAGGATAGTAAACAAAGGGGCATGGCTGTATTCCAGTGAAACCTTCCTTACGCACAGAAATCAGCCTAGATTTGGCCTGTGGGTCCTAGGTGGCCAACTCCTGGTCTGGAGTGTGTGAAGGTCACTGAGAAATGGTCTCCTGGAGGAGCACCAGCTAGGCAAGTAATTTCTCACTTGGTTTCCTCCTCAAGACACCACCATATAAGAGCCATTATGATGATCTTCATTACCCCTGCAACTATCAATTGACTTTTCCAAGGCCACATAGCTAGCATACGGCAAAGTCAGTGTTTGAACCCAGATCTTTATTTCCAAGTCCATTAAAAACCTTCCAACCACCCCATGCTATCTCCGCTTCCATTTGCTTCTGCAACTGTCCCATGATGGTGGCAAACTTTGTTTTGCAAGCTTTTTTCACTCTTCCCGAAGGAAACTTTTCCTTTTTGAATGATTTTTAAACAGCCAAACAAAAAGGGACAGTGAGTCTCCAAACGTGCCATTGCTGCTTTTGTTCAGTACAATAGACTTTATCTTGCTTTGTCCAGTTTCTACGAAGTGGGACATAGGGGGTTTGTTTTCAGGAAATCAGCATCCTATTTTTCTCTTTTTTTTTTTGCTCCTGACACAATTTTGTCTTGGAGATAAACTGTTATTTTCATTCCCTCCATTTGAGCCCCGTGTAGAATGTTTTCTATTAAAATTTAAATAAGCCACTTCAGAGACAGATGAAGATGTGAAGCTCAGATGAGCTGATTCACTAGAATTTGTTCCTGAGAATATAACTTATTTGCTCTTATAGCTTATGCAACTAGGTTTCATAATAGAAGTTTTAAGTGGGCCAGCATTGTGCTACTACAGTCATTTCATCCAAATTCTCCAGCTAGAACAGCCAATTGCAAAGGGAGAAATGAGGAACATAAACTCTCAATTCCCCTGCCCCAGAGAGATGCAATTATTATTCCAGGAAATTGCTGGCAGCTGACATGTTTTTGAAGATACATTGAATTCTGTTTGTGTGATCCTCAATCAGTATACATTGCAATAAAATACTTTGCTACTAGCTGACTGTCCGAATTTTTCTCTTTTTCCTTTGATTGAAGTAGGAGACAGAGCTTAACAAGTTGGAGAGGTGTATATGGGGATAGGGGTGCTGAGAAGAGGTAGCAGTGGGAACAGAGAGCAGGATGGGTGCTGACGCAGAACAAAGGCAAGGTCAAAAACTGAGTTGGTGTGCAAAGACCCAAGAGGAGAGACTAGATGGCTTCTAAATCAGATGATCTAAAGTCAAGGGATAGAGCGAAACATTCAAAGACCAAGTAGATGAGACAAATGTAAGTAAAGTGTGGGAGGGGTAGAGCAAAGTGGGAGTTATTCTGAGTGATTACAGAGAAGAGCATAATGCAAGCTGTGTTCCTTACCAATCAGTGTTCTGAAAGAGATTGATTCTTTGAATAATCTTGAAAATACATAATTTTTCATTCTTGGAGAGACATATTGATAGAAATAATAATGAAAATAATGATAATGATAAAAAGTAAATATATAGATGATTGCTGATATAAGCCTTACTACCACCTACCAATATGCAATCTTACTCCCTTTCTGGCTATATTGAAAAAATATATTTTTGCTGTTACTGAAGTTAGCTATAGACAGGTGAC